AGAGGAAATGGATTTTTTTGGTGCATATACCATAACATTTTACTGCTAGAAGAAAAGGAGAGTTATTGATGTGGTGGGAGTCAAATATGCAAGTCTGTAAAGAAAAGCAGTTGCACATATAAAACTTAATTAACGCTGATAGACTAAGATTTTCCTGGCTAGTACTTTCTTTCTGCTCTGCTGGAGTTTGTCTGCAGGGCTCTGTAGGGCAGGGTGTTGTCTGCCACATGGTGTTTGCACAGTATATGGCATGGCGCAGCCTTGCTCTTGACTGTTGCTTAGACGTTATCATAAAAAAAAAAAAAAAGTTGTTGTTGCTAATAATAGATAGTAGAATCAAGTAGACGTGAACCTTTGTAATATCATGATTGCTAGGCACATGCTGAAATATATTTTTCCTTCCCAGTCCTTTAAAAGATAAAAAAAAAAAAGCCAGGGGGCAGGGGGTGGAGGTGGGAGGAATCAACACTGTTAATCCAGTGTTATTAACACACTGATTGGGATTCTGGAGGAACAGTGACAGTCTTGAAAAGGTAACACATCATTTTGTTTTGAAAGAGGAGGAGCAGCAGCACTATGGCATGTCGATTTCTAACTGAATGCAGTATTTTTGCTAGGCTTGGACAAGGCCCATACTGATCCTCTGTGGAATGATGTAGTGATCCACATCCTTGTGGAAGGGAATCATTATAATCCATATGGCAGTTGCTCTGTGGGAATTTTGATCAGCAGTGTGAAGGTTTGAATAGATGCATGGCTTAGGTCAAAGGTGAATCAAAACAGTGGAGCAAACTAAGATGGAAGGCTCACAGTATCTGAAATCTGTATTAACCAAGAGTCTTTAGCCTCCAGGACTATTAATCTAAAAATTCAGACATGTAGCGTAGCATTCTGAAAATTAAAAAAGACAGTGAAGTCTGTTGTGTTGCCATCTGTTCCTCCTTGGACTATGTTCTTGGTAACAAAAGGAGTGGTTATAAGCACCATTTGTGGCAATTAAGTTAGATATGAAGATGAATCAAGATTGACAAATATGTGTGACTCTGGGGAAAACTTTTAATATTCTTCTCTGCCATTGTATCTGTGAGGTAATCATTCTCCTTAGAGAATGGGGTTTTTTTAGATGTCACTAATCTCTACAGAATGAAAAAGAATTTCCCTTTATCCCTGATTTGTTTCTCATTTGAAAGAGAAAATTATTGTTGTTCCCTTCTATTTTAAGAGAAAAATTAAATTCTTGGCATATAGCTGGTGGTGAGAGAGGTCATATAAGGTCAGATTCTAATCTTTAATACATGATACCCAGCACCGTGTTTCTCAAACTAAATTTGTAGCTATTCATGCATGAACAATCAGAGTTTTTCAGGTCGAGAACAATGTGCTCAGAGCTACTGAAATTATCTCTACTCCTGTCCCTTAAATTTACTTTTTTTAAAAATACAAAATTCTGTGCTGTTTTTGTTCCAACACACAAATCAAATACAGAATCACAGAACTGAAATAATACCTAGCCAATTCAAACAGTGGGGAATAAGGATGGTGATTGACTTCTCAGATCAGCACGCTGTCACACCTTCTAAACTCTGTTGAGACTGGAATAAAGGGTGTTTCTAAAATACATTAGTGAATACTTTTTTTGGTTATGCAGTTGCCATGGGGTTCAACTTGCCTCACTGATACATGAAATACAGCTCTTGGACTATAATAGAATTTTAAAATATGTAAGCTGAATTAATTATTTTAAAGTTTAGATGTTGTTGGTGGAAACAGGAAATTTCCTTTTCACAGCTGGCAGGGTAATTATTAACAACTAAAACAACCCTTCCAGAAGAAAGAAGATTATTTGTAGAATTGTCATGTGTGAATTTAGAAAGCTCTTCCTCAGGGGAGGCACAGAATAAGTAAGACTTATCTACTTATGGAAGAGGCTGACTATAGAGCTGAAGGATGTGAGGGTTTAATGGCTAGAGTTCTCTTCTAGTGAAGCTTGAGACAGTCCCTGTGGAGAGATAAATAATGCTGGTAAAATGATTTTGCTCTTGGTATAACGTTGTCTATATTAGTGTTTCTGCCAGCTTAGTTATTTGACTTGTGGTGCTTTTTTATCACTCTTCATTGACAACGCTTTGTTATGTGCTGTGGAGGTGGAATATTGCTATACTTGCATGTTAGCCTAAATGGCAGGGGCTAGTCTAATGGGAAGAGAGCAGACACACTGCAGCAATTGGGAGTGCTCTCAGGTCTTTACAAGAATCTAATAATTTCTAAGTTAAATCAACAGTGAAGACTTAACAGACCCTTCTGGAGATAATTGAGTCTTGGGAGCATTTTCCTGCATTGCGCTGTGGAGGTGGATTGGCTGATTAGGCCTTTGTTTGTTTTTTCTCACCTAAACATACAAGAGAATGTCTAGACAGCAAAAGCTAGTAAAGGAAAATGAGAAACACTTCTAAAATAGTGGAATAGGCGAAGCAATAGGGAAAACAAATAAGGAATCACTGAAACCAGGTGAAATTGATTATGCTCAGATGCAGGGGAATCTCCTAGGGATCATGAGAAGGAACTAGCAACAAAAGTTGGAAAGAGGTGTCCTGAAACATGAAGATAAGAGAACTAGAAACATAGCAAGCAATATAGAAAGTGGTTAATTGCAGTGGAGTCATTTTTCCACCAAATGAGTTGTTTAAATGCCCAGTGAACTATTCATCAACACTGAGGGGAAAAGGTAAGCAGAAGTTCCTAAGAGCTCTTGCATACTGTGAACACAAGACCCAGAGAGGTATGGGAATAGCTGGTTGTCTTGTGAGGACTTCCTGCTAGAAACTTTTGGGTATATCACAGCCCTGATGGCACAGTGAATTTGTCAATACCTTGCTAGAACTGACAGGCTAGCTGTGACTATTGAGCACCCAACTCCTGTTTGTCTCAAGATCAGAGCAGCAGCTCAAGCTGTACCAATGTGTCCATTCACCTCCTAAAAGCTAGGGAGTCCTGCTGACATAGATAGATGTTTCAGGGAGGAGATCTTGTATGGGAATGAGGTGATTAAAAAAAACCCAACCAAACAAAAAAAACCCACCAAAAAACAACTTGTGGAGGAGAGATGATACACCGCTAAGATTCAGCAGGGATAGGGTATACAAGACAGCAGAGAAGTCATGAAAGAATGAAGTTTAGATTTCACCTTCTTCCCCTTGTCCATATTAAAGAGAGAGCCCTCATGGCAGAAAGTATAAAGAAGATGATTGCTTTTGGAAAAAAAAAGCTAATTTCTTGAAACACTTTAGTCAGTTCTTTAGTGCTTTTTTGCCACATATTGTTCTGGAAAACATTTGGAATCTATTAAGGAAAAATGCTTTGAGTTCACCCTCTTGTTGTGTAAAAGGCAAGTGGAGTATATTGGGAGAGCAGGGGAAGGTGAGCTTAGCGTGTTTGGTCCTCAGCTCACACAGCCTGCTGCAGGTATGCACAAACATAGATGCAGCGTGGTGAGGAATTTGTGCCTTGAGTAGAAGGAGAGCCAAATTTGACCTTGAGCAAGGAAACCAGGACCTGTGGCTGGAAAACATGCTTCATGTCTTTCTGTCCAGCTTCCAGTAGATACCACTGTATGATACAAATCCCACATACTTCTTGGAGAAGGTTCTGTTTCTGTTTAGTTGATGTTTAATGACATGAAATGCATTCAGGTTTACAGATCTGAATTCTTACAGATTTCATATATTCATATATGTTGAAGGATTTTGTGGCCAGTACATTTCACACAGATCTATAACAGGAGAGAAAAAGCCCAGTCAGGTGGAAGGCAGAGGCACAAAGCATCAGCGATGTGACCTATCAGAGGGAAGTAAATCTGGTTAAAAATCTCTTTTAAAATAAGTCAGAAATTAGACAGTCATTACTGTGGTATTATCCATAGAGACAAGTGGAATTTGTATTCAGAAAGACTGTTTTTGAGAACTATGGAAGACTGATGTTTGAGCAGGCTAAAAATGCACAACATTTTAAAGATTGCAAGAAATAGTTGGAGAAAAATTGACGTGCTGGTAGCAAATAATGTTTGCTTTTGTTTAGCTGTCAGTAGTAATTCCATTTAAAGAGTGGTCTCTCCGGGGCATGGTAGCTTTGAAAGAAAAGCAAACCCTGAAGAAGGCTGCATGATATAATTTCAATGTGCCTTATCATCAAGACTTCCTTTGAATGGTCACAGAAACATTTGGTATGTGTAGGTTTGAATCCTTCATTCAGGGTGTAGGTAGTACAGTACATCATCAGACCCTCATTTATGCTTCGCTTTGCTTTAAGAAAATGCTGAGTGGTAGGATAGTCTCTTTGAAAGATGTTACTATATTGCATTTGAATTGTACTGTTGTACTTAACCATGTTTTCTGGGCAGGATGTCTTTTTTGATACATGGAATGGCGCCTCAGTGATGTGCATGTGTAAAGGCACCTTGGGGCTAGCAGTGTTTCCCAGCTGAGGTTCCCTCAGATCAGCCTGGCTTTTGCAACTGCTAATAGGTAGGATGAACAGGAAATATCC